GTTTCTCCACAGACTAAGTTTGAAGCATTCTTTTACTGTACTTAACAGTTGGTTGGCTTTTGTTTCAACAGGGAAGTTTCCTCCATTTACTTTGGGTCATGCTGGTTTTTTTCGCTCAGTTCAGATGAGCTGATCCGATGGTTGGCATAGATCAGAGTAGAATTCTTCGTTCTCACGAAGGGCTCACGCTCGAAACGTCAGCTTTATCACTCTTTACGGCGGTCAATTTACATCGTCAACTAAGTTGATAAAACCAGTTCATCTTGCAATCTCCCACCGACGCTTGCAGCACTTAAGTTTATTCTGAAACGTACCCCTTTAATCATAGAATCCGAAATGCTTTTTATCTCGGAAAGATAGCTCGGCTGACTTTTTGAGTCCTCTTTCAAGCAGATTAAATAGAAAGGAAAATGAAATGAAAACATGTGGTGCAAACTATCCGCTCTTTCAACGGCGAGTGAACTGAGAGAGAAAAAAAAAGCCAAGACTATTTTAGCGCATAGCAAAAAGTTAAACCAGTTTTTATAAAATTGCAACTGGATTGCTTCATTCAAGAAAAAGATTCGAGGATATGTTTCACTCACTGACCCAAAACACCTTGTACAGAACTGAGTAAACAATAACACATTAATTTAACAAAGATGATTGAAAGTTTGCAAACATAACACATACTGCCCCACAGCAACACTGCTTGGCAAATAGCACCCCTTTGCATTTTGAAATCTGATGTTTCATGCGAATCCATTGAGGTAAATATTGGTGAAAACAAAGCTCTATAACTTTGAAATCACAGTCTGATCAACATTAGTATTCATATTTCAGCAAAACTTTAACAAACTGAAATATAAAATGTCAAAGGTGAGAAACAGCGGAAGATGTTTGCGGTGAAAGCTTTTTCATATCAACTAAAAATAAATCGTCAAATGAATAAGACTAAGGAGGCATTTCTGCGTCAGTTAAACAATTACTGAATCAAATGTTTTCACTTCGTTGCAGACATGATTTTAAGGATCGATTACTGAGCGAGGAAATCTTGCGCCTTTTCTGCGTGTAGGTCCGGTGCTCGATTAGTCAACGATTCTGAAAAGCGCACACTTGGAAAAAGATGAAAATTGTCATGCAATAAAAACACATGATAAGCAAATTAGCTTGCCAAAGAGTTCTTCTTTCCGGCTAAAATATCCATGGAGGAAAATTTGACGTTTAAAACATATCAGTGGAAACTATCCAAACACACAATACAAAAACACGTTAAAAGAAAAATTATAATAATCACGTAGGTACTCAAAACTGAAATTTACCGTTGAATGTATCTGCGGTAAGAAGATTTCAATGATTTTAAATGAAAGGCTAAGTTTGAATATAGTGATAAAGAGCAATCACGCTAAAGACGAAGAAATCCCACGGCTTATTACCCCAAATGTTTACGCAGGAAGACAATAAAACACGCGCTATTTTGACAAAAACTACAAACAAGTGTACATGGATTAAAAAAAACGAAATTTTTCAAATACAGAATGGTGTCAAAAGTTATGAAGTATTAAGCTATTCTTCTCTGTGGCCGGTAAACACTAAAAATAACGAAATTCAAGAAAAGTTGGATGATTTTCAAGACGAAAAAACCGTGAAAATGAAAGGATTTCTGTTGTTGATAAATGAGTCAATTTATAAATAGTTAGTTTTTAGTGGGTCAAGGACTTGAGTCAGTCTCTCAGCACGTACAGCGTCGATCAGTTTGCCGCAAGGTAAACAACTCCATTTTACATTTTTTCACCACATGGTCAGAAAAGTTGTGTGCGGCATGTTTTAGTTAAATTAGCGACGATTATCAGCCTTTCCAACTTTAGATCTCGATGTCATCCCCAGTTTTGTTTCACGGTTTTCGTTTTCGCATGAATAAACGTTAATACAATTTGCGTAAACGGATTTCTTTCTGAGATCTGAGCTAGAATTTCATTTCATTTTTTATGTTCGAATACATGACACAAGAAACAAAATCTGAATTTGATTTGTCTTGTTTTGTCTTGATTTCAGTTTCAAATAAAACTGAAAGAACATGCACATGATAATGGGGCAAGTTTCTTAATATGTTTGTACTTTGTGTAAACATTTCGTCGTTTCTTCTAAAATCATCAAAATTTATTTTAAGGCTGAAATTGAACCCTATCCTATAAAATATTTTTTATCGTTATGGTGCTACGACTTTTTAGATTATAACTCGTGTTCCATATTCTTCTGCTTCCATGATAGAATTTTTCGTGTTATTTTTGTCAAGCGGGAGTAGGCTGAGTGTGAGGCGAGCGGAGAAAGCGTGAATGGGAGAAGCGTGTGCTAAGCGTGAGGCTCGGATCGAAAGGGAGGAACTTGTTACACCCGGTTGGCTCACGTCTCTCCCATTAAGCGGAAAGGAAATGAAAAGGACTACCACAAAATTTTTATTTCAAATTAATATGATACATGAAAAAAATGGCTCAGTTCTGATTGGTTAAGATAAATGCAGTTTTCAGGTAATTCAACGCAGAAGAGAGTTAATTCAGTGCAAAAATGTAACAAACCAGACCGAAAAATTCCTTGAACTGTTTAGCCGGACTCTGAACTCTTTTGCGCCTTAAAGATATAAAAATATCATTGTATATTATTGTTTTGATCGTACGGCGTTGTTTTGACCGAGTACATAATGTTACTTGCAGGGTTTGAAAAAAGAATTATTGCACTCGATGCGCGCGCTATACTTCTGCATAATTGTGATAAGTTATCTCGTATTTTTTCATGTATATTATTAATACGTAATCAAATGATTTTTCTCGTGCAATTTGGAATAAATAAGCACTTGTAAATTTTTTCAGTTTTTAATCACGCTTATTTATTTCAAATTGCACTCGAAATCATGTGATTACCTATACTAAAAGAAGAGATCAGTCTTTAGACTGCCGTATTGCATTGATAGGAAAACCAAATAAGCTTTAGGATCGGAGCTCAGCATAAGAGAAGTGACAGAAAATTCTCGCAAGGGCTCCATTATCAGTGCTGCAGAATGCACGTTTTTCCACCCACGCGCGGGAAGATTTGAGACGACTCGTGGAGAGTTTGCCGGGGGTCTGGCATAAATCATTATCAGTACGTTGCTCATTGCCGTGGGCGAAGAAACCGGTAACGGCGCTTTTAAATAAGGCCTACTCGCATGCTACGAAAATTGAAGCTACTGTGTATGCCGCTGTCCTTGACGATGATGCTGATGTTGTACCGTTTTGCTCGCGAGAGTTTGTACCAGTGGCGGTCCATTAGACCGACTATTATTTAGGAGTGTTCACGAAGGTAAGCGCGCGCTCTCGCTCCAGGCGTTTAGTCAGTAAATGCGGTGCGTACAAACCAGTTACAATGGCTCATAACACGCGCCTAGTAGAAATAAATCATTCTCTTTGTCAAGAATGGTTACAATAGGCTCTTTATTGTTGCATAAGATTTACAGGAATACGTAATTAATAATAGCCATAGAGCCTATACACTGATTATCTAAAATTCATTCTAAAAGGTCTCACGCGGTACATTGTCGACTAGCAGAGGCAATGAAATATTATAAAAAAGAACAAAATCGCCTATTAAACAGACAAAGAAAGGCAAATAACACACTCATAGGCCTTGCTTACACCAGACGAAAGAGAACCAGGAATAAGCATTTTCACTTGTAAATCACTACAAACGTGTTCTGTTCACTCGAAAATTGAAGCAAATCAAATGCATAATGAGAACCCCAGAACCAATTAAACACAACAACAACAACAACAAACGTTTACGTCAGCTTTTATGAAAAGTACCGTTTCAATTTTTTTTTCATCCACACTAAAACAAAAAGCTAGTTTTGAAAAGCGTTTTCGAAAATGTTTTTCGATAAAAAAATTTCCCCGGTCGTTGTAATCGTTAAAAAATTTTTTTGCTTTTTAATTCACTTAGCACGGAAAGGAAACCTCTACTAATTAATTTAAACCTTGAAGATACGAAATCATCAAAA